ATAATTTACTTGCTGGCAATTTTACACTGTTCGCTTAGAATCACACAGCACTGCAGGAAACAGAGTTCAAAGTTACGCTTTATCTCCTTTCCCGCAAAAAATATGCAAAAAAGAAAATGGTGATGAAATCGACGGAGAGTCGACGTACCGATACATCCCGCTATTGAATTGCGGTAAGCGGCAGTAAGGTGGGATTGCGGATTGATGGTGGCGGCCACCTTCAAGAATCGTTCCGGGAAATTGGGGTTTATCACAAGGTCCCCTCTTGCGGATAGCACATAACACGTTCCGACGTGCTTGTACGTTATGTTTAGGAATGACGGGCCTCTGCACCAGAGGTGAATATGGATACGAACTTATGAGTATACATTACGACTACTGTACGGTTTGACCTGGGGAGCGGTAGTATATCAGAGCGCTCAGTAACATCGAAGCATCAGAAATGATTCGCATATGCGTGATACAGGAGACATGATTTTCTTTCCTACAATATGTCCCGACTCCACCGTTGATCCGGGGTAGGTTTCAACCCAACCATATAATAAAAAGACCTACTTGAATACATTAACAACACAATTTAAAAATTAAATAACAAGACTTACTTGAACTTTGGTACGCCTGTAACCACGTCACCATCGTTCACCAAGCGGAATGTGTGCGGCACTTTCTCATCGTAGTACGCTGCGAAGTTCTTGTTGCCCACTCTGTAGTGCACAAAGTAATGTTGTGACATAGTGGAGACAACTCGAATGGGACAACGTATGCATTCAAAAACAATACACAGGGCTCCACGAAGACACCCGGGAGCCGAATTGAACTTCCAGGGTAAGATATAGACTGTAACATGGCCGAGCAAAGTAATCCTGCAGGCTAAATAGGGAGCACGCATAGACGCAGCACAGTGATCTCGTATGTTAGGTACTGTTACCAGTACACAACTCACTGCACAAGCACTGCAGATACAACATCTCGACTGGACTCAGCCAGAACATGAGAAAAGTGATAACTCATAAAGTGAATAGCACCGAATACGAGGAAGCCGCACAGCAACCACACAGCACACACCTGGGCGACCCGAAGGTGTACACAGTGCTCTTCAACTCCGGGAACCGTATGGCGCAATCGAGCGCAAACAGTGTGGCAAGACTACCCCCCAGCGAGTGACCGGTGATGAACACGTGTGGGTACGTTTCATCAGTCGGCTGCACCACCCCCTCCGGCAGCGCAGACACAGACCCCTCAGCGGCACCCCCACTGGCCCACGGGCTTGACTGTGGCGTGTCCTCTGGGATTACTTCCTGCGCGAGCGCAGTGTCATAGGACTGCGCCAGTCTGCGTGCGTGTTCGTGTGTGGGTTTGGCCGTGTGTTGCTGTGTGTGTTTGTCTGTGGGGTGCTGTGTGGGTGGCTGTGTACCCCCATCTGCTCCCCCTTCCCCCGTTCCCTCGGCAATGGATTCCTTGCGGCCAATGCCACTGAATAGAGCCTTGAGCGATGCCAGTGAATTCCTGCCTATCCGGCCTGGGTTCCCCTTCGCACCTTCGTCTACACGCCTCTCACGGGTTGGGCTGGTGTCGGTTTCGGCCTCCTGATGACTCCCGCCCTCCCCCATAACGCTGTCGTGGTGTGCACTGACATCCATAGCACTACCGTCCACATCCTTACCCATCACAGCCTGCTGGTCTGTAATACGTACGTGGTTGCCACTGACAGTGTCTCGTGCCGCACCCATCCCGTGGGCTCCCTCTCCTGCCGCAGCGCCAGCACTCGCCTGCGCACTCTCCCCACCCCCTGCTCCACGAGTCAAATCTATATTTAGATTCCCGCCGCTGCCTACCACGCCGTGCCGACCCGGCCCATAGTACGGATTATGCACAAACCCGGCCTCGCTCAGGCGCTCAGCCTTGTCTGGGCTGGTGTATGATCGGAACACAGCTGTTTTCCTCGAGTGCTTGCGTGCATGTGTCTGTGTCTGTGTATCTTGTTCATTGTTGGTGGTCCCTTCCACACAGCCACTCTCCCATCCCACCGTTTGGCGCGTGCCCAATCTGCCGCGGCACACACAGTGTGTCTCTCCCACTGCACCCTCACCCACACCCACACCCACACCCACACGGCCGTCTGGGACTATACATATACACTTCAGGGCTGCGGGCTGCGTGTCAGGACATTTACGATGAGACTGACCCCCACCGCTGTGCTTCTGCTGGACACGCTCGTGCTCACGCGCCATCGCCTCTACCAGCGGACGCAACTTAGTGAACAGCACATCCCGCACAGAGGCATAGGCCAGGTAAAACCCGCGATGGATCAGACGGTTCCCAGCTGTTGCGGTGGGTATAGCAGCAGGTAGTCAGTGGATTGATATTTGTTTAGTTAATCGTGCTACTGTGTATGGGCATGTCAGCTGTTGCGGTGGGTATAGCAGCAGGTAGTCAGTGGATTGGTATTTGTTCAATTAGTCGTAATACTGTGTATGGGCTTATCAGCTGTTGTGGTAAATATAGCAGCAGGTAGTCAGTGGATTGATATTTGTTTAGTTAGTCGTGTTACTGTGTATGGGCATTTCAGCTGTTACGGTGGTGGGTATAGCAGCAGGTAGTCAGTGGATTGGTATTTGT